GGGCATTGGCCGAATCAGTCGTAAAGCACGTGCCTCAGTATCGATCATCAGACAATGGTCAGATATGCACTTTGGTTTTTCTAGCAAACATTCTGGCAACTTTTTTTCCTGGCATGCTGGAGTACATCCCAAAATGGGCCTCCGGTGCTCACGCCGCACCTTTCAGATCGCGGCGACCGCGACGGGACGCCGATGTAAGGTCGAGATGGCTGATGAAGATCCTCAAAAGACGCCAATGTAAGGTCGAGGTGGCTGATAAAAATTTTCAAAAGACACCAATATCTCGAGCTAAAAGGCCATACTCTACAGACTGGCTCGCGTATATTGTCGACTAAAATAGTAAAACTATTTTAGCTTTCTAAAGTAAGGCGCACGGCGCATTTTTTTACCAGCATAGTACGGCGCACCGCACAGGTTGTTAAAATGACAAAACAAATTCCCGCGCACCTGGCACATCTTCCTGACCATGGCTTGGATGTGGATTGAAAGACATTGTTTTTAGATTATAGGCTAAACGAGTAAATGTCATAGTCATACAACACCATGCATGGACAGAATAGGTCAGAATTCAATAATCTTGAAATATTTCAAGTTTGATTTGTAAATCGTAATCAAATTTTAGTGATAGAACTGAAATGAATAGCTGAATGCTGATTTATATTCAATTGAATCCATCATAAAATGGCAAATTGGCAAGATATATACATATATGTATCTGCAAAAGCACAACATTCCTGAAAGGCTGAATCGAGACTTCCGTCTTTGACTTTGATGCCGATAGACGTCCATAAATGATGGACGGATGGTAAACCTGAGTTTACCTACTACACCAAACCAAAAGAGTAGTCAAAACATGAAGAATAGGTCATGAAGTCGCATATACTTACCTGTATCAGGCAAAACGTATGGTAACCCGAAGTAAAACACGCCAACTGCGGTGATTCCCGTCAAAAACTGTACTATCGGTCGGTAGCTGTGCATGATATGACTATTGCTCACGCTCACTGCCAAACTTCAACTATGACTGGTAGGATATGACGTCTAATTGACGTCACTATGTCCGCAGAAAAGGAATTAAAGGATATGTTTACACTACATTCGACAGACACATTAACCCCGATTCAAAATAGTTTTAAATTGATGTATATGCCCTAAAATCCATTTTATGAGCTTAATTATATTATAATTGAGAGAAAATGTTGTTTTATAACTATTAAGAAGTGAGGAAAAAAACTTTCCTCATGAGTCACAAAATGATGACGTAGTTGCTGTTCTGTGAACAAGGAATGGCGTCAAGGTCTTGGCTGCTTAGTGAACTGCATCTGCATGTTAGGAATTAACTGTAATTAGTATTTTAAAAATTAGTAAAATAAATTAGTATTTTAAACGGAGACTGAATATTTAAACAACTTACACAATTAATACCGAGCAAACAGCACGATATTGACAATCTAATCTCTTATTATCGTCGCCATAAATGCTACTGATAAATTGATAACCTTCCCTCATCATTACCGGGCACTGTGCTCCATAGAAGAAATAAAATGTCCTTCAACAAGTCATTAATTAATTTTTTTATACCAATCTTGGCAAGTCTTCAAACAACCGGCAATCAATGATTTAAACGTTTAAACGCGGACATGGGAAGCATTTTCTTTCACTTTCTCAGTGGCCGCTTATACAATTTGTTGATATAATTTATAATATAGTCGATTAATTAGTGATAAAGAATATTGTGAAAATATATTAAGCTTCTGGAGTACACCCATGTGTACTCCAAGATATCTTGTGTAGGGAAGGGGAAAATGTTATAGGATCTTATCGAGAGCCAGCGCTAACATAAATTGTATATAAATCGGCACATAGGACCTATCCTATTGGATATTTAGTATGTATGTTATATTATACTATATTTAATTATATTATACATAAGGTATTGCATCCGTCAACATTGGGCGCAGCTTCCTGTGAAGTGAATCAGCGTCCATTTTAGGCTGCACCCAAAAAAATAAATATCATATTGTAAAAATAGTGAGTTACTTTCTTACTCACAGCACAAGCAGAGTGGATGCGTGGCTTTTTTTACCGGATCAAACTGTGTCAGGGAGACCCATACAAGGGAAACGTGCATCACAATTTTGACAAAATCCCTACATTTCTCTGAGTGTAGGTCTGGCATCAAGTGAATCAGCAACACGTGCCGATCTTAGTTTAATAAATAATAATTATTCGGGACGAGCTCACCGCAAATTAGGCACGAGGTGGACGAGGGGCTAAAATAACCAAGATCGGAGCTGTTACTTGGGGATTCGAAACCCGCAACTAAGTGTGAAAATTATGCTCGAAATCAGCAAGGTATCCGAGTGGTTAAGAATCATTTACATGCCAACAAGGCCTGGTCATATATAACACTACAATATAATGCTAAACAAAACTACTATGCTAAATCTGCACTTGGAAAAATCAGTGGTTCATATTGTCCAGAATATGACACACTTCTTTACCACAGTACGAGCTGCGATCACACGTAGCCCTGGCGCACCGTTTTTGCCGGACCAAACATACGCAAGCAGGCAGGTGCATCGCAATTATGACAAAGTCTCACTCATTTGAGTGAGTGATGGGAAAGTTCTTGAGGTCAAAGTCAAGGAAGAAGTGAAAGGTTCTATACATAACCTGTGATGATTGCTTGTGAACCTAATGATGATACGGTCGAAGAACCCGCTATGCAGGTTCTACTCGATGTTATACCACGGAATGTTTCTCGATCATTAATTTTCAGAGATTAGTTGTGTTGTATGACTGATAATTAATTTGTACTACAAAGAAAAATGATATTGTTTCAGAGGCCTAAGAAGCATCAAAGCAAGAAACGCCAATCGACAGTTAATATAAACTGTATTTTATTCATATTTGAGATTTGATCCATGTTTTACTTCGTAAAAAACTATGGCAATTCTCCCAAGAACTAGCAAAAATTAATGTTATGAAATAATTATGCCGATAAAAGGATTCATTGTCACTAGAAGTGGTGCAAGACTTCCTTTTTGTTATGGATGAACCACCGTTATCTCTTTGTCATTGTTGCGCAATTCCTAATCGATCCGCAGCCATGAAGTGCGATAGTGAGCTGCCACGCCACTATTGCGTTCTAACGGTGATAGGTACTCATGGACTTTGTTGTCAATACCATTTTCAATATTAATTGAAAATATTTTCACTTTTATTACTGTTATAATTATAACAATTATATTTGAACGTAATTCCGTCAGTCACTGACGGCTTTACAAGCTTGCTGCAACTGCTGCTAGTGGTGCAGTAGCTGCATCACTATCATCTGCACCAGAGTTTCTGGTATATGAATGTTTTTCACTATAATAAAACGTCAAAAAAACGGCGCATCTTCTTTAATAAAATTATGCCTCTTTTTAGTTCACTAGTGCATGACGAAGCATCTAAATTTATCAACGATGACAAAATATCATGTATTGAAAGCTAACTGATCAAATGTATCACATTTTTGGAAATTATTTCATCAGTATTTCACATATATGCACCAAAGTCATTGTTTCCCAAAATAGAGTCGAAACACCCGGTAGAACTCGTATGTCAGTGTTGCTTCATACAGCTCATACAAACGCCGCTGATTCCTGCATCTCATACAAACTCTGCTTCATACAGATCATACAAACTCTGCTTCACTCATCTCATTCAAAAGCTTCTTCATACAGCTCATACAGTACCGCATCATACAGCTCATACAAATTCTGCTTCATACAGCTAATAAGAACGCCGCTGCTCCATACAGGTCATACAAACTTCATAAGCTCATGAAAAAGATGCTTCTTCATACAGCTAATGCAAACTCTGCTTCATACAGTTCATACAAACACCGCTTCTTCATACAGCTCACGCAAGCTTCATACAGCTCATACAAACGCTGCATCTTCATACAGCTCATGCAAACTCTGCTTCATACAGCTCATGCAAGCTTCATACAGCTCATACAAACTTTGCTTCATACAGCTCATACAAATGCCACTGTTTCATACAGCTCATACAAACTCTGCTTCATACAGCTCATACAAACTCTGCTTCATACAGCTCATACAAACTGCTCCTTCATACAGCTCATACAAACTGCTTCTTCATACAGCTCATACAAACTCTGCTTCATACAGCTCATGCAAGCTTCATACAGCTCATAGAAACTCTGCTTCATACAGCTCATACAAACTCTGCTTCATACAGCTCATACAAACTCTGCTTCATACAGCTCATACAAGCTTCATACAGCTCATACAAGCTTCATACAGCTCATACAAACATCGCTGCATCAAACAGCTCATAGAAACGCCGCTGGTTCATACAGCTCATACAAACTCTGCTTCGTACAGCTCATACAAACTTCATACAGCTCATACCAACGCTGTTTTTTTATACAGCTCATACCAACTCCGATGCTTCATACAGCACATACAAACTCTGCTTCATACAGCTAATACAAACTTCAAACAGCTCATACCAACGCTGCTTTTTTTATACAGTTCATACAAACGCTGCTTCTTCATAGAGCTCATACCAACACTGCTGCTTCATACAGCACATACAAACTCTGCGTCATACAGCTAATGCAAACTTCAAACAGCTCATACCAACGCTGCTTTTTTATATAGCTCGTATAAAAGCTGCTTCTTTATACAGATCATACAAACGCTGCTTCTTCGTACAGCTCATGCAAACTCCGCTTCACACAAATCACACAACTTCTTACAGGTCAAAAAACGTGCCACAGAAGCAGCCAGCGTGCGACTGCAAGACGCGCAAGTTTTACATTACTTTCCCATGCAGGCCTTGAGGTCGCGTTTCACGGCTGTCGCTTGAGCTGCCTGGCACTATATAAGGCGGCCTGCCGTGACCTGCTGCCCTCAGATGACGCGTGGCGCTCGTACGGGGTGTGTGTGTGGTGTGTGCTACGATCCTCAGATACGCCGGTGTGATACGTGTAGGGTATGCCGTAAATATAACTGTAAATAATATCCTAATAGTTCAAGCCATGTATACATTTGAATTGGCTCTGTTCTGCAGGGATGAGTTAATCTGCGTCGACACATACTGTATAAATATAGTATATCATGCATTACACCGTATAGAATTTAACAATTTTAAATGAATTCTGGTATAAGTAATGGTGCAAGCTTATATAAATAAATATAAATGCACCTATTAATTCGGATAAATTACATTTCAGTTCAAAGAACTACATTAGTTGAAGACCAAGAGAAAGTAACCAAAGTATTATGTACTAAATGTCTAATCTTCCAATCATAACGAATATCATCAATCAGAGAATGCATGTGACTGAATACTTTCATCAAAAACTCAAAGCGAGAAGGGAATTCGTCATTGGAATATCATTTGCCGATTTTCAACTATAACTATATTGAATAGAATAAAGGTTAAATATATTCAAATATAACTTAGATTCATGTTGTGATGCCTGGTTTCAGTTTAAGATTAATAACATGCAGGGGATAAAATAATGTGACTTAGTTACATAATCGTTTTAGAAAGCTAGGTGTGTTACGAACATTAATTAAACTATGGATAAGAAATCGGCACTACCTTATGATATTACCTTCTAATGATTATAAAATATTCACATACTTTTTCTGACAATGTTAGTTTGAAAAAATATACAACTACCACACACTGTAAGAATTTAAGTTTTTGAGTAATTATATTAGATTAATATACCTGTCGCAATAACTTGGTATTTTCTAAGAGGATTTTATTAAGGGGCAATAAAAGCACAGTCGCTCACAATAACCTTCACTGATTGCCACGAAGTTTAAAAGTAACACCCTGCATACAATAAACTATTAATTCAACAATTTATTAATTGATGTGAAACTCTCATCGGCAGCTTACTTATTTCCATTTCGATTACCGAATACCTGTCATGACATGGTGGGCGTAAAAATATTTTGTGTGTGCCACTGATCATTTTTCCTGACATGTTCGATGTTTTCGAGGGCAATGTTCACTGTGGTGTTGGCTTGACAAGTTCGATATTCTCGAGGTCAATGTTCTCTATAGTCTTGGCTTGACAAGTTCGATGTTCTCGAAGTCAATGTTCTCTATATAGTCTTGGCTTGACAAGTTCGATGTTCTCGAGGTCAATGTTCTCTGTAGCCTTGGCTTGACAAGTTCGATGTTCTCGAGGTCAATGGTCTCTGTAGCCTTGGCTTGACAAGTTCGATGTTCTCGAGGTCAATTTTTTCTATAGTCTTGGCTTGACAAGTTTGATGTTCTCGAGGTCAATGTTTTCTATAGTCTTGGCTTGACAAGTTTGATGTTCTCGAGGTCAATGTTTTCTATAGTCTTGGCTTGACAAGTTCGATGTTCTCGAGGTCAATGTTCTCTATAGTCTTGTTCGATGAAGAGTTATGACATTTTTAGACAGTGTCAGATAGTCATTTCATGAGACAAAAAAAAATGTTCCAAAAAAGTCTTAATTAGCTGTAATAAAGTAAGTTATACCAATTCTTATTGTAACTAGCCAACTGAATGGTTCACATACAACGCATTTTCAGCAAAGTTATTTTCAAGCTTGATCATCAAAATGAGCATAACCACGAAAGACTAGCTTTATTTATTTATAGAAACAACATTCAAACCATGATTAGCCTTGAAACATGTTATTGAGGCATTATTAGTTCACAAAAATTGTCCTACAAAATTATTCAAAAAATCAAACGTAATTTACAGCAATCATTAATATTCAAAATTAATTAAGAACAATTATTACTTTTTTCGTCGTAACTGCTCTTGTTGTTGGCAAGGATCACTGCCCTCAGAGATTACTTCACTTCATTGACCTCTTCGGTGACCCAAGGCCGACTGGTTGTAAGGAGACCATGACCAGACAGCCAACGTCACCCATGCAAGCACGCACGTCTTTTACGCAACTGCGGTGAAGAACAACTTTGATAATTCACGCGTTAACACTCAGACAAATGAGTGAGACGAGTGTAGTCCAAATAATAATGCACTTTTTGCGCTGTGTAAATCACTCAGAGCCAGATTGTCCGTGGCAAAAGAGCCTATATCAAGTGCTACGTGCGGAACATGTGTCACTATTTGGATAACATAAGCCATTCATTTTTCTGGATGTTCAATTATCGTTGTTAATTATCACAAGTAAAATTTCGTCCGTTCACACCACTAGAGAACAAGAGTAGTTCTGGCCATATTGATATTACGACATCATTTCCTCTTCTAAATGAGGGTAAATGCGCATAATTGAAGTGAAAAATAAAGCACAATTTTGACAGTTTTAGTTTGGGTGTCGTTTTAACGATTGCTAAAAAACTTGAAAATCCGAATTTTTAAAAGCATTACAGTCAGACCAAAAGTAAGAAAACGATTGTCCACAAGCACTACCATATGAGAGCATAATAAATAAACATATCCCATATTAGAAATTAAAGTTTGATGAAAGTCACAAGCAAGTGACTTTTGACAAGGTTGCTTTTTGTATATAAATACATGTTCGCTAAGAAGAGTTTGCTCTCTACAGCCATCGAGGAAGGAAGCTTTGTCTTACTCTCCTTCTTCAACGCTCTTTTAATAATTATCGTTGTGAACTATATATATATTTTTTAAATGTACTCACATTAAAACGTGTGAAATAATCTAGAATAATTGTTTGAAAGAAAATTGTCACAAAGTTTTCCCCCTTCTCGGAATTAATTGCTGAAATTATCAGACCCGATCATGGCAATTTTTGACTTGATTTATTAATTTTACTACAAAATTTTTATTTTCATCCAAATTATTCGAATTAAAGTTATTCATAGAGTGCACACATTTACTCAGTCAAACATTGAAATCAGTTTTTGCAATTCAATATTTAATATGAGATTTTATAAACCGAAACAAACATTATTCAGTGATGCCTGATATCAGGCTGAACCATCATCAAATAAAATCATCGACAACCCAATTAATTCGTGCGCGAACTTCAGCTTAATGCTTGGTTGTTGTCATTGAGCAAATTATGAAATTGCTCAATATCAGGGAATGTAAATTTTTGTCTTTATCATTGTTAAGCATTACGTTCTACTGGATGCGCAGCAAACAAAACTGGCATGATAGCAATCGCAATCGCATCAAAGTTGCCTTTCCAAAAGTTGACTTTCTCATGCATAACTCACGTGCAAATTTCGTCGAAAATCATAACCGTGCTACGTTTTTGGAGTCAATTTTACAAGACTTCTCTTTAACTTCACTTCTTGTTTGTTTGTCTGTCTGCTACAAATTTTATAATCGATATTTAACACACTTCTACCTGTCCAATCGATCTGAAATTTTGCACACTCGCGTAAAGTTGGAGACAATGCATGAATCAATTTACAGAATAAATAATTTTATAAATTAAATTTTTTTTTCATTATTAAAAAATTAAAAAATAATTTCGTCTGCTACCAATCTTATAATCCATATATGACACAATTTAACCTATCCAATTAGTCTGAAATTTTGCATAATTGCATAAAGTCAGAGACAATGCATGAATCAATTGACAGAATAAACAATTTTGAAAATTTATAAAATTTTGATATCTTGAAAAATTGTTGAAAAATAATTTTCTTTCCAATATTTGAAAATAAAATTAGAAATTCATTGTGCATGTGTAATATCCAAGACACTGGATTGTTCAGAAGAGTTGTCTTTAAAAAGTAATTTTTAAACGCATATTATTTTATATTCTAAGGTATAATATATTTAAGTCTGCTATCACTTGATCGTGTTGAGAAGCAGAAATTGCTTGTGTTCAGTTCAAGACTATAGTAATATGCCCAGTAATTTTTTATTTATTCTAGGGTATATTATATTTAAGTCTCCTATCGTTTGATCGCGTTAAATAGAAAACATCGCTTGTGTTCAGTTTAAGATTATAGTAATAAGCCCAATAACTTTTTTGTAGATTCTAAAGTATAATATGAATAAGTCTCCTAACGTTTGATCGTGTTCACAAGCAGAAATTGCTTGTGTTCTGTTGAAGAGTATAGTAATATGCCTAGTAATTTTTTGTTTATTCTAGGGTATATATTTAAATCTCCTATCGTTTGATCACGTTAACTAGAAAACATCCTTTGTGTTCAGTTTAAGATTATATCAATAAGCTCAGTAACTTTTTTTAAATTCTAAGGTATAATATATTTAAGTTTCCCATCGTTTGATCGTGTTGACAAGCAGAAATTGCTTGTGTTCAGTTGAAGACTATAGTAATATGCCCGGTAATTTTTAATTTATTGTAGAGAATAATATATTTAAGTCTCCTATTGTTTAATCGCGTCAACTAGAAGATATCGCTAGCGTTCAGTTTAAGATTATAGTAATAAGCTCAGTAACTTTTATAAATTCTAAGGTATAATATATTTAAGTTTCCCATCGTTTGATCGTGTTGACAAGCAGAAATTGCTCGTGTTCAGTAGAAGACTATAGTAATATGCCCAGTAATTTTTTATTTATTCTAGGGTATAATATATTTGTCTCCTATCGTTTGATCGCGTTAAGTAGAAGATATCGCTTGTGTTCAGTTTGAGATTATAGTAATAAGCTCAGTAACTTTTTTATATTGTAAGGTATAATATATTTAAGTCTCCTATCGTTAGATCGTGTTCACAATCAGAAATTGCTTGTGTTCAGTTGAAGACTATAGTAATATGCCCAGTCATTTTTTATTTATTCTAGGGTATAATATATTTAAGTCTCCTATCGTTTGATCGCGTTAACTAGAAGAAATCGTTTGTGTTCAGTTTAAGATTATAGTAATAAGCTCAGTAACTTTCTTACAAGACTCCTCTTTAACTTCACTTCTTGTTTGTTTGTCTGTCTGTCTGCTACAAATCTTATAATAGATATTTAACACACTTCTACCTGTCCAATCGATCTGAAATTTGGCACACTTGCGTAAAGTTGGAGACAATGCATGATTCAATTGACAGAATAAATAATTTTATAAATTAAAAAACAATTTTTTTCATTATTAAAAAATAATTTCGTCTCCTACAAATCTTATAATCCATATACGACACATTTTGACCTGTCCAATTGATCTGAAATTTTGCACAATTGCAAAGTCAGAGACAATGCATGAATCAATTGACAGAATAAATAGTTTTGAAAATTTACAAAATTTTGATATCTTAAAAATTTTTTGAAAAATAATTTTTCTTTTCAATATTTGAAAATAAAATTAGAAATTCATTGTACATGTGTAATATCCAAGACACTGGATTGTTCAGAAGTGTTGTCTTTAAAAAGTAATTTTTAAACGCATATTATTTAGAATACGTTTATAGAAGGCATTGCAAAATTTGGTGTACTGGGCAACATAGCCAATGCCTTGCCAATTTCTGAACAACTTTTTTTAGTAGCTCAGGAATGCATGTATAATTTCAAATATCAAACGAAAATTCAGGAAGAAAGTTGACAAATGTTTACTATAACAGTAAACAGTATATAGTTTACTATAACTATACTATATACTATAGTTTACTATAACTATACTATAACAAATGTTTACTATAACTTGCAAATGCATTAGATGATTCAGCCTATCAAGTTATTCATTAATGGTAATTATGCAATATTAATATGGTATTATATATTGTTATACTTTATGGTGCGTCTGAGGAAACGCTTCTGTATATATACTTTCAAAAATACAAAACACATTCTCTTCACATAATTACACTGCAATTTAGAGCTATTACCAGCATCGTTCCTCCGCAGATCTATTGTTTGAACTCTTAAATTGGATCATGATTTCTTGTGGAAGTAATGATGCGTGATCGAAATATTCCATTTGATTTACCCGGAACGTTTCGTTGGCGCACAACACAAGTGACATTATAATTACGCAAAAGTTCTGAAGCGCACGACTACAGTTTGGCAATATGGGGGAACTATATGAGAATATATTAAAGTTTTTCAATGTTTACCCGGAATTGTACTCTAAACAATCAACGATACATTTGCTTTTGTCGTGTATACGTAAGGTCATGCTAGCAAGGGTCGATAATAATATCAGGAAATAACACATGTGCAATTAAAAGGCGTGGACAATTACGCCGCAATGGCAATTAAAACATACAGGATAAGTGGCACCGCCCGCGTGATTTTAAGCACTTGAGTCCCTGCAGGTATAAGTTTATTACTGCAAATGATAGCTATAATTTAGCTCTGGCAATTGTAAACGTACTATTCGACGTCGTTTGCACTTCCTGTGCAAAATTGTACGTCCGGGCGGTTCACTTTACGTCAAATTATTGCAGAGACACCGGCCCAACCGTGACAAAAATCGGTTGGAAAGTCAATAAATTGACTAAAGTCATCAAATAGAAATTTGTAAATTTAATTAATTGAATAGACTTAAGTAAGAGTAAGTTTTTATGTTGTATTAAATTGAAATTAAAGTTCAATAATTATTTAATTCTTCTCTAAAAGTTAAAATGTACGTATCATTTCTGTGAGGTAGCCTGAGACTTGGTATCTTAAAATTTCGACACTCTATACAAATATAAAAATGTATATAATATTAAAAATAAGGCATTATAAAATAAGGCATTATTCCCACTTTCGCGTGAGAGTTCACAAAGAGTGATAGCATTGAGCGTGAGGCGAGCGCACTCTACTCAAGATTTATGTGGCGACCACGATAATTTTGCGGCAATTACGGAACATTGAAGGCCGAATGAGACGGTGGTCTATTCCTTGACTTTATTCGACCTCAGCGACATGTTTAAGCAATGCGCTGGGAATCACAGTCTAGTGAAAACAAACAATGTAAAAAATCGCAGGACGTTCTCAACTATGAGCATTTCAGTCGCACAAAATTTTTCAACGAACTGTAAACACAGATTTGATTCCCGGTTAATTAAAGAGCCTGCAAATAATTATTTAAAATACAATTCAAGATAATAACTGTCATTACAACATAATGCTTCTTAAATTTGTGTCCATTCACTTAAGAAATCATGGTTTGACGTTTTGAAAATTTAACCTCTCATTTTGGTCTAAAAGTTATGGCTGCCATAATCACAGGAGTCAAGCATGCTTGACCTCTATGCATTGCCACGCGTGGGGGTGGTTGTAGCTCGAGGCTTACTGGCTACGTCATTACTTAATAAGAAGTTAACAGCCATTACAACTTTCTTATCTAAACAAGACCGCGAAATGCTTGCTCAAACCCGCGCCATTGCGAACAAGCTTCATGCTCAGATTATATGTATACACACGAACTGAAACGCCTTTGTATATATAAGATTGATCTAGTTATAGTTTAGTGAAAAAATAATTGTTAGTGGGAGGTATTCATCAGCCATATTAGAACATCGAACTTAATATAAAAAGATATCATAATAATTTTTAGTTGTAGGATTGGTATTTTTGGGCGTTTAAGTCCCTTGATTTCATGCAAATCTTCTTCGTTCAAGTGCGGCAATAAACTGCTGCACATTTTTCGCCCTTCTAAAGTCTGCTTGTAGTTTGCGCCTAAAATAGCTAATAATTAAAAAAACTACCGCAATTAAGAGAAACTTTTGAGTACGTTACTCATAGACAAAAAATTTAAGGGAAATTTTTTTTTTTTATTGCGGTTAATATAGATAGATATAGTTTTCAAAAGATTTAGTTTTCACGGTGACTGTATCTCTAATGAGTATCATATGCCATGTTTTAACATTTGAAATGTCATTTTTCAGAAACGAAACGACAATTTTACGAACGAATCACACGTCGCAACCTCTTCAACAGCGTCGTGAGACCATCCCATGAATTGGGCTCAACTTTTTGGATTCGACCCAAAGAGAAAATAAAATATGAAAGGCCTAAAACTTGCTTTAATTACGCTGCTGTCGACTTTCGCTGTGGTAAGTGATGTAATTTCGTAATGCATGATCAATTTTTTTAATCATTATTATATAACGGTTAACAACTTTAAGAAGTCGCAGCAGTCAAGAATGTACTTGTAAAAAATAATGCGAGTTTGAGTACTAATCAACGTGTTTCTCGGTATACGGCGAACCACAAAAGAGAGGACTTGAAAACATCTTTAACCGTAAATTTTCTGTAATTTTAATAATGAGTAATGTAAATATATTACATCATACATTTTTCCTATGTTGACTAAGTCAATCTGGCATACCTGCACTATAAAAATGATCGAGGCATTGTCCAAATAGCGATGCACTCTTCGCCCTTGTGAGGATAATCCTGACCAAGTTAGGCTCAGTAAAAGATCGGATTTTTGCTGCTTGCATGTAGTGCGTCATTATATTCGAGCAACATGACGAGGTAATTTTTCTGAGTGTGAGGACGTCTAGAGGTCGTCAGCATGCAAAAAAAAAGTTTGCAATCTTAATTGACATTCCTGCTCCAGTCTGAACAATTACTAGCGATAGTGGAACTTGCAGCACAAGATATATAGACACGCCGTACATGAAAAGGGATCCTCAACTCAGACAAACCGGGGTTTGTTTGGTCTTATTAAGTATCTGAGATTATTAAGTATCAAAGAGATATGTATATTATACTGTGCACATTCAAATCCAATGAACGGAAAAACTATTAATAAATCTTTCAAACTGATGTTATTGAACCTAATGGGCATAATTTTTGCCTAATTTTTATGATAGGAAAGCAAAATCTCAAAGCTGAACATTCGCTTTGATGAATATGCAAGTCAGCGATCGAAAGCCTCTCTAGAACGACTTCCTCCTTGTCGCTAAAGTTGCAAATCATGATTTTCAAAACTATCTCATGAGAATTTATGTTTAAATAGAGTTCGCTTAACAATATTTTCCAGAAGTTACAATTGTTGAATGAAAAAAACTATATTGTATTTGTTCATAATAAACTCAATTGCAAGGCCCTTTGTTCCTAGTTCATCCGTCACGTGCTCACTCGTCCACCATCTTCACTATTTTTTTCACTGGAACCTTTCACTTTCACTATCACGGTCCATCATAAACTGGATCCGTCTGCTCAGGAAAGTTCAGTGATCAAAGTTCATTGAATTTTTGTTGTATCAAAATATGAATTTAAAAAATTGGAAAATGAACTGTTAACAATATCATGGAAAATCAAAGTTATCGCTTTGATTAGCATTTAAATCGAGGAGGCATTGTAGCGAGAACTATGAACCCACGTTCCCGAGGTCGATGGGACATGAAATTATTTTGGCACGCATGTCAAGAAAGCTTTTTTCTTTTATACCCACTGAGGTCAGTGAAACCTGTTATCACAATGCAGAAAAAAAAACTCCGAGACCCCTGACAAATTCAAATGTATACATAGCGAATTAGTTCCTGTATTAAATTTTGCTCCTAGACAAAGCTTCTGATCCTTGTAGTGGCTGAGGTCAACGAACTATGGGGCTGTCATAACCAATATGACTAACAAACTCTGGCTGAGGTTAAGGTCATAATGTAAATGCCTGGGAGTCGAAAGTCAACGCGGACTTTTCGAGGTGGTCATATCCATCACGTTATTGCCTGAACTCAGTATTTAAAGTTTGTCTACCTCAGATGAACACGTTTCTTAGCATTCAATTACAAAAGGAATGATGTTATCTCTATTAGATCGAAAAATACATTCAAGCTATTCACTGAAACTCTAATCTTACAGTTCACTCCACGTCCTTCGTAACACACAACGTCTTGAAGCGCAACTTCTCTGAACACAGTCAAAGCTGCAATCAGTGAAATGAGTGAGAATTTTTCTAAATATAGACGCACTTTTCGCTCATGTGTGGGACACCCTGACCCAGTTTAGCCCAGCAAATTAAGGAGCGTAGCAGCGATACGTCCGCTAACAGTTCGAGTTGTGGACAAGAAAGTGTGTCACTATTTGGACAATATGACCGATTCGTTTTCTGAGTGTGGTCGGGATCATTGACCGTTAAAAATGATCAGGTTTAGCATCAAGTGCTCCCCGAAATGTGCAAGTCACTTGACCTGCATGCACTTTTACATCCTTCAGTTCAGAGGGTACAGCGATTGCACAATACACTGCAAGCTGCCATGCAGGCACGGGCGTGCGTGGTTAATATCACGTTGAATATCACGCATGTTACGAGCGTTACGAGTGACTATTATCATTATTATTATTATTTTATTGTTATTAGTATTATTATTATTATTATTATTATTATTATTATTATTATTATTATTATTATTATTATTATTATTATTATTATTATTATTACCGTGAGACTAGAGTTGTAGCGAGTTCTTGTGTCGTGCTCGAGCGTCATAGAACGAAACTATTACTAATATGTCAGGAAATGCCTTTTCACTCTCATATGTGGTGGTAGTTAAATTTTTTTTAGTGCAATGTGTTACTGGATCTTATTATTTTTATTTACTGACACTTGTATTTGATGACAATTTTATATCTCTGTACTGAATATTATGCGCAGCTCATTTAAAAGATCGACATCAATGGCTTTGAACCGAACTAACTGATCATTTGGCTTACTCGAATTCCACGTTGAACGTAAGTTAGATATAACAATAGAACTCGACTCCAACTTTTTATGGGCTGTGATGTAAAAACGTATGCAAGTTTTTCTTAAATTTGTCTCCTTGATACTGACTGTTGTTGAACGTGATGATGCAAAAGACATAATTACGGCTCGTTTAGTTTTTACAAGCAATTGTCTGGAGTTTCACTCGCTTAAATGTGCATTTCACACTCTCGGGCGAACGCGGAATGGATTATCAAGCTCAGATGCAAAGTAAATGCTTACAAAATTAATTTAAACAAAAAAACTCTGACAATTACTAATTATGGTTGAGATAAATGCCATGTAAATTTAAAGTTTAGTCAGTCAGAAAATTTGTACCTATCTTGGATCAGAATGCCGTACAAATCGAACCTATTCGACCGCAGATCGGTGCCTATATAGTTTATTATTATTATATTATTACTTATTAGCAGACAATGTGTCATACCACTCCTTATTTCATGGTTGAACATTCAATCTTATGGAAGATTAATTGAAACCAGAAAATGTATTTTAGTAACAAGTATTATCATTTAATATTCAAGTATTGTATATTATTCGTAGTATATTGAATGTCTTTTGGATATCTTCTTTTCGATCTCACAATACCAACGATTAAGGTACATTGTTCGACTAATTGAGAAAAAAAAACAATAAATTATCAAGAAAAGGCATTCTCTGCGTTTTAATCATATTTGCATAAAGGAACAACTTCGGTCCAATTATACTTATAATAATATTCTACTAAATACAAACCCACAGTCGCGACTGAGATGAGGTCGTGTTTTGCCTGATGACCTAAGCATTACGAAACCAAGTCGCTTGAACCGACCTTTCTAATCGACCCACAGGGATGGAGTCACGTCGCTCTCATGGAGCCGCCAGCAAGAAATGTTTTATGGCGGGCCGGCTACCCTAACTTACCTAAGCACGAAGACGACGATTATCTTTATTGTATTGAGAAGGAGGAGAAGAACTGCCCTCCATGCGGCGACACCATCGACTCCCCCCAACCGTATGCTCACCAGGCTGGGGGCAAGTGGGCGCTGGGTATCATCGGCCGCAACTATTCTGCTGGAGAGGTTAAAATTGATGATATATGATCTAAATATAGATGATGATGAGGTAGTATCAATTATATTTGTCCTTTATTTGCAGATATATTAACCGTCTTCAGTGTTTTTATACCAATATTTTGTACCCGACAGCCCGAGTTACCATCAAAGGGTAAATCATTTGTCTACAGAATCATTAATTGTTTCCAATTTTCTTCGTGAATAAAGTCCTGGTCACTAGATTTAAACTTATATCGGTAGAAGTGGGTTAAATTTATGAATTACCAAATAAAATTTGGTAATTCATAATCAATTTAAAAATTTATGAATTACCAAATAAATTTAGAAAATTTATTACTTACAAAATTTCGAATACGCACACAAATGCACTTCCCCGTGCGTTCACAATGGACAATTAATAAGTCGGGTGGAAACGGTAACGGGAAGAAGCTCGTAAGAATAAAACCTCAATGGTTATTCGATCAGAAGAAAAGTTCCCTCTAAAATTTTCCAGACTATTTCAGTAGGCGTGAACGTGACTAACAGTCATGGCGGCCACATGGTCTTCAAACTTTGCCCCAACAACGACGTCACAAAACCAGTTACTCAGGAGTGCCTTGACAGGTAAGGTTGATAATCAAGTTCAATTTTTTCAAATTAATTTTTCCGATGAAAATAAACCAAGGAACTGGAAAACTTGATAAAGTTGCGCGCAAAACAAAATCATTTAATTTTTATTTTCCAAGCTATAAAATAACTCGATTCTTCAATTCCTCAGATACCCTTTGTCCGCATCTGGGTATCCTGATGGTAAAGTACCAGTCACTTCCCCGTATCAGGAGACGCAAGAATTCAACCTCAAGATAAAGTTACCACAAGATGTCGTATGCTCTCAGTGTGTTCTGCAAATGACACAGTATACAGGTGGGAAATTTACATGAAATTTTTTAACTATTATCATAATTCTAATTATAAGTTCCACAAATGCATTGACACTAAAAATTGATAACGATGTGTGAATACATAATAACCCAGAGATTAAATTTGGCTGATCCAATAATTGAGCAGAACAATTATACGGAAAATTTTCGGAACAGTTCAAATGTTCGGAAATCGTTTACCATTGAAATTATCATAATTATCATCATCTTAATTATTTTTTAAACTTATGCACATTGTGTTTTCAGAGCAATTCAAGCCTGCAAAAGTCATGTTCCGCAACTGCGCCGACATCGGCATTATTGACCCGAGATCCGCGTCTTCACACGCCAGGCAAAACCGTTTTGCTAGCACATCCAAATCTTTAACGAACGGATTCACCCAGCAAGGATTTCTGGACCAGTCCGCTGGTTTTGGACTCGCCGGACAACAACAATTCCGAACAGCTCTTCAGGAACCGTCGTCCTTCCTTACAATCGCTGATCAGTTGTCGGCCTACGGAGGTTCGCCTCAGTTTGGCCAGCTGGCCTTTGATAATCATTCGCCCCAGGTTCAATCATCTTCTGTGCATTCCCAGACCCCGACATTTGCATACGAACCTGACTTCATGAATGGGCAGTTTGATTTCAAATCCGCACTTGAATTCAACAATCAACAGTCTCTTCAGCAAGTAGGAGACGGCAACAACAGGGAAAACTTCCAGCTGCCAAGTCGGCCTGAATTTGATATCATAAATTCAGGCAATCCGCAAGTTGCGGCTGCAAATAAGCAAGACCAAAAATTTAAAACTGCAAAATTTTTATCGGCCTCAGCTCCTCAACAATTCTCATCCCTTTCGCCACTTTCTCCTCAGGTGCCGTTCACGCGAACAATTCAAGGCACCGAAAATTTTTCCAAATTTCAAAATTCAAAACAAATCTCGCATCAGATTGGTGCACCATTCGTCCAACAAAAACCTCAAGCTGTAGAGATCTATGGTTTCGGTAATGTCGGGAAGAAACAGAAAAATAATGCGAAAAGGGACAGTGATGCTAATTTTGCACCATCAAGCTCAGACTCCCAATTCCGTAGCCGAAGTAAGGCTATGTTTCCGGAACAGGGATCACAACAAAGTCCTGGGTACATACTGGCTCATATTTACTAACCTCGATAGGTGTGTTCAGAATGCTTTGTTAGAGTTATATCAGAAGTAGCTAGGTGTGTTCGCTATATTAGTTATTTACTTGTTTAAGTGACATGCGAAACTTCTACTGCAGCGTATGAACCGGTGAAATTTATAAAAACCGGTGTATTATAAGCATTGGTGATATTTATTTTTCTGCTCTATGGCTGTTAAATTTCACAGGTTTGCATTAAATTTTCATTGATATGATACGACAGATCCATGGTTTGCTATAGCGGACCCATGTGAGAAATTGTTGGTTACCTCATTCCAAGAATAATTAGAGGAAAACGTCAGTCTTTTTTGTTTCTATCACAAATTTCTCTGCGCCTACGAATAATAATTTGAAGCTCAAGTTTAAGCAATCACACAGAGTTTAGTTCCTCTGCTCTGAGAGTTATGGTACATTAATAACTTAATAAGCTTGTTCGATTAAAATTATTACATAACTAGAATTATTTGTACCAGAATATAAAAAGACGAAGAGGCTACTTGGCTATCTTGATTTAAATAGTTTTCCTTTAGTCCGGGCTGAGAACTAAAACGCATCTTAATTCTTCTGAGGACATTAGCGAAATCAAATAACGACACAGGAGACAAATTTATTATAACCGTAATGTGATTTATAAAACAGATGGTTCACTGGACCATTCTTCCATATATACAGTACGCATAATGTACATTCCTGGACCGTGACTTGCCTCTAACCTAAATGTCGAACTTTGGGCTGAACAATTGCACTTACCAAATCACCTTTCTGTCTTAGCCGTCTGGAATTTCTCAAAAATATAATCAAATATAAAGTAATGATCAAATGAGAATGATTTCGATAAATTGAATGATTATGGAAAAGTACAACTTTGTGAATGAGTTTGAAAAATCTTATTATCATGAAAGATTAAACTTTGCAACTGCTTCTGAAAAATTAAATGAAAAGATTGAAAATTGCGAAACATTTTTAGTTGATTAGTTTTAGGTGAAATATATCTTTCTAATTCATATTTGAAAACTGACATTGTGCATGTTGCGTGGGTGTGCTTTTGCGGATAAAGTACAATTTGAACTAATAACTAAAATTGAGCCAATTAATAAAAATGAACAAATTAGTAAATTGAACCAATTATTAAAATTGAAGCGATTAATAAAATTGAAGCGATTAATAAAATTGAAGCGATTAATAAAATTGAACCAATTAATAAAATTAAAGCAATTAATAAAATTGAGCCCAATTAATAAAATTAAACCAATTGTTAAAATTGAACCATTAATATAAACTGGGCACATAATAAAAATTGAATCAATTAATCAAATAACTAGAAGCATTTTCATCAAACAGCGAACAAAATAGTAATGATTAGTAAATGAAAAACTAGAAAAAATCAACATTCTCGACTTCAACTGACAGTAAGGTACGAAACTCAAAATTCATCTTCTCTTAAAAAATTCACAAGAAATCACTAATTTTAAGTCTTCAAGAAACGAATCCAAATAAGAAGAATAATGCGAGAAAAAAAAAAAAAAAACAGAACAAACCCTATCATCAGATGCACTCTGTACCGACAAGCACTGAAAATGTGCGTCTAGCGAGAAGTTAGATTTGCCATACTATTGGTTTTTAACGAACTAAACTTATTATATACCGCCTGAATGTTACATGGTCGAGGTATGAAATGTTCATTTGTGCAAATTACCCCAGTATGAATTTAAAATGGTAGGCTATTGCGACTGAATTCCATAACATAAGCAGTATCGTGAAGCGCAATACATATATCTTGTCTTGTAAAGTTGTAAGTACATACATCTTGTAAGTACATACGTCTTGTAAGTACATCTATCTTGTACGGTTTTCCTCTTCGAAGATCACAAGCGAGGTTGGACCATAAGACACTGAAAATGTTACAAAGCCTTTTCTCGTCAATTCCAGTAAAAAGCACATAAAGATAGATGAAAATTTATATATTCGTTGCTACACGTGACGATTACCGTTTGAGGAAATATTTTAAGAGTATTTGTAGAAATCAATTGTGAGTTTATTGCATATTTCTGTTAGGCATGATTATAAATATCTTAGTTGCGTTTCAATGATAGAAATGAAGTCAGTGCAACAACAAAATATAATCCTTAACAATTAGATGTATTTCATAGATACACTTCATAGAAGAGCTGTTTCAAATTGACGACAGTAACTAGTATTTAAAAATATTGTTTAGTATTTATAGAAGTTAAAAGTTTGATTATTTGCGAAGAATTGTGATTAAATTTTCCTCGTATAAATACTTAGCAGAAGCTAGTAAAATCTTGGCGAATATTGCCGTAGTAACATTGAAGAAGTAATGTCAAGGGAGAATCTCTCTTAAGAACTGGAAAAACATTAATAAATACTCATCAACAATATAAAGTTAAATAGCAAGGATATAAGAACAGCATAAATTAAGTGTTTCATTCGTAATTACTGGCTAAAATTCCATATTAATAATGCATGTCAAATACTGTTATTTACTTTAAAATTGAAATACGTGTATGAAGCTGTAGTGCTTCAAAATACAATGTATAATTGGCTCGGTTCAACCGGCAACTACCATCACTGGGAGATCAAACACTAAAATGTGCATGGCGACAGCATTTAACAATCTCTAACAAACAAAACATTTAACAAAAATGTATTCCGAACTTATGATAAAATTATAATTTTATTCTGATACATTTTGAAAGGCAATGTCAGATATACATTTTTTAATTACCAATATATCCATTATATGGAATAAAAATTCTATTTCTTAGATAAATAATTACATAAATAACGGATTGCACGTATAATTTCAATAATTCATTAAATTCAAAATTAATTACCAATCTTATTTTATTATGTAAAGAGCTTTCACGATTTTCAACCGTCTAATTTTAATCACAAGCATTACAAGTTCAGCGTAAACGCAACCCATGAAAAATATGCTTCTGGAAACATGCTTTTTCATACGCACGATAACCTCCTTACAAACATACAATAGAATATCTAACGTCAGGTCAATCCAAAATAGCGTCAAAAAATGCACAAGCCACTCAACTTGACACAAAACTCGCAGCGATCTGAGCACTGAGATATCAAGAGACCAATTACTTAACTAATATCATCAATATTTTTAGCTCTTATCATCCATACAACGAATATTGTCAATTTTAATTATTATGTAAGTCTATCGAATAAAGAAATCTTGAAGTGGCGGAGATGAAGAATAAATGACAAGTATTGTGAGCAAATAGAATGTCACATAGCAGTAATACATTAATTAATAAGATTGAGATTTCAAATTAACAAATTTTTCCTAAACGCTTGTTGTTCTTCATTGGGACTTTGATTATCATAGTATAGTGAAGTACTGTGTATCATAGCATCGTATATTATGATGGGGTTGAGTTGAATATTTAAATAAATCCGAACTATCGCCGATTCTAGAGCGCAAATTTATCACACATGGCTGGGGTTCGGACCCGCATCTCAATTCTTAACTCGTTTCGCTCTTCACCACTTGGCCACCTTGCTGTAATTTCAATAAACGCAGCGTTAAGAAGTGAAAGTCGTGAATGAGGCAACATTCACTGTGCAGTTCTGGAGGAATAACATCAAAACACATTAAATGCTTTAAAATAGAAATAGAATACTCTGCATTTTCCCCCTCAATTAATGCCCCAATGTATAGATTGTATTTGTTGAAGACGAAGTGCGTTAAAAGAGATATCGCTGTACTACAACTCGATATGATGGTGAGCATTGGTCCCGTTACAATCGTAAGATTCAATGTTGAAACCGCCATTTGAAAAATTTATAGAATAAGCTATGATAACAACAATCAAATTATTTTTAAAACTGCAAGATTAGTCTTGAACATTGATCGAATTCAACGATTTAATAATATTTCAAAAAATTTCTCGGTAATATTACTAATTAAATTGTAAAATGGTAGTTTTGGTACCGCATGAAATATTACATTATTTTAAACATGTATAAAATGATTGCAGTACAAATGGTCTGCCAGATAATACGTTGTTGTCTGAGAGGAGCTGTTGCTGCTACAGCGTGCAAGCGGTTGCAGTGGTTGGTTCTGCAGCAAGTTCTGTTGGAAGTGATCTGCAAGACAAGAGGTCTCAATTACAACTTATTTGCGAAAAATGCTGTAACCAATTAACTGCAAAATAAAAACTGGTTAGCAAGTTATCTGTACAAGGTAATGCCAAATGTTGGTGAAGTTTATTCGGGAGTAAATGGATGCTAATAAAAAATGCCCGTTCAAACTCGAATTTCACATGGCAGATTGAACTCACATTTGATTCTCGTTTCAAATAATGAAAACAATATACTAAGTCTTATAAATTTAATTCATGCATGGCAATTTTGAAGATTATTACAATTTTCGAACCAATCCTTTCCTATTCTCCTACTAGGAATGAAATTTCAGGTCCAGGTAATATCCCGACACGATAAGTCAAATAATATACTATAACAATATCCCGGCACGGCAATAATACAAATAATATCCCGATACGGCCCAACAACCCCTGTATATTTGTAGCATCAGGCTTACAACGCACACACACAAACAAACTTAGGGAAAATATACAATATATTAATAGGGAATTATATAAGAAGCTCACCTCGAGTTTAGTTTTGTCTCCCATCATGATGAAGAAATCTTCGCACTCTGTAGCACAGCCGCGCTCGATGCTGAATTGGTGATGAGTTCGGTTCTGTGTCGCTCCATTCTCCACATACCATACTTGCACAGCCTTGAAATTAATAACATCATATAATATTATAACATTAATATATTATATCATCATGAGTTCGAAAATTAACTTGTAAAGTGGACTTATAAAATAATTGTATTTCTAATAAGGCTAATTTTGAAAGCCTATCAGAATCATATGTTCGGATAGGCCTTCAAAAACTTAGGGATCAAATATCGTATAAATAAATTAAATATCGTCGTCTAATTTTCAAAACAATTTCAATTCCACAGGAACAATAGGCCAAATATTCGCACGTCTCACCATGCAGAATCGTTCGCCTGACGCGCATTCTTGACTGAGTTCTTCCCAGTCGAAATCGTCGTCTGTTTCGTTGGTGAGGTGAAGGTTGTAGCAATGGTTCAGGTTGGTGGTTGATGAGCAAGTGATGCATCGCAACGTCTGGCGGTTGGTGGAACCTTCCACGTACAAACTTGTTCTTGTTTCTGCTAAACTGTAGTTGGTACCCTGCAAAAAACGGCAAAATGTTATCTCTTCATATCTTACTTTTACTCATATTTATACGAATAATATATTCTATAAAAGAGTATTAATACTCAAGTCTATCTCCGAGTCTAGCTTCTTCTTTTACTGTTTCATTCAAATAATAGCTTTGAGGGATATTTCAGAATTAGAGCCATCTGAAGTGTCAAAGAATCAAATACAGATGATGAATGAGCAAGCATCTAAAAAATATTTAGAGTAAACTGATATTTCGATAATTTTCAAAACAAATAAAAACATTTAAGTTCTATCCTGGTAAGGGCGCAAGAAAAAATTACAATTAACAATGTTAAAAAGTTGATACCTTAATTAATGTTAATTGGACACATTTCTAAAAAATCAATTTCACCTGTGATTTGTTAATTGTAAAATTTGGATCGTCAGGCAAACTTCTGTTCCGTGGCGCCTCTTCATCACCTTCCCTCAGATCCTCCGAGGGGACGTCAGATGAGGGAGGATCAAACTCGAGGGAATACGCCAGGCTGTCGTTAGAGTCTCGACTCCACATCTCCAACTTTTGGCCAAGTGAGTCAATTACAGATCATTAATGTGCAAGTATGCCAACAATGTTTCAAGTTGAGCTGATATTGCAACGATTCATTAAACAAATAAACACTTCTGGGTTTTAACCTGAAGGGGGTGAAAAATTATCTAATTTTAAATATATATAATACATTGATTTAACAATATTTTACTTTGAAATTTACCTGTGATTTGTCGATGGGGAAATATGGACGTTTTGGATCGCCAGGCAAACTTCTGTTCCGTGGCGCCTCTTGATCGCCTGCCTTCAGATCCTCCAAGGGGACGACGTCAGATGAAGGTGGATCGAACTCCACGGAGTGCGCCAGGCTGTCGTTAGAGCCTGGACTTAGACTCAACATTTCAGGCTTTTCCAGGAAGACTCCAGGATATCCTGCGAGACGCGGTGCTCCAATCAAGCGCCTTCTGGATATTTTGACGTCCTTGTCTGCAGACTTTTCATAAGGTCGACGACTTTTAGCTAAATTTTTAACGAGTGAATCAGATTCTGATCTTTCCACTAGTCCTATGTTGTTACTAGAATCCTTAATATCAACTCTAGTGCTACCAGCAACAAAAATTCCAAACCTATCACTACTGGAGTGCCTTTGCAGGCTCGTAAGGCTCTCGTGACGCTCTTTGTATCTTTTCCTTCTCAATTTAGACTTGCGTTCGATGCATTGCCCGTCAAGATCACTTGATCGAACGCCACGATTGAAGCGTGAAGATTTCTTAGAAGAAGGGTATCTTGCTAAGCTTTGTAACGTGGATCCCGCTTTTCGACCGCTGTGTAATATTTTTAAATTTATTGGAACATGTGTTGAATCATGAGGACTAACTGCCATCTTTAACGATGATGCTAAGTATTGTTTGGAATTATTAAATAAGTCGGTTTTTATAGAGGAGATTTCGTTCCAATCATAAGCTAAATTGTCAAGTTGTTTGTACCGGACATTTTTTCTTCGATCACTCAATATTTGGTCTTGAATGGAGCCCTTTCTCTGAGTTCGGCCTTGTTCTGAAAATGAATCTCGAAAATTACTTGAATTCGTATTGATTGATCGACGCGTTACGTCAAAAAATTGCTCACGTTTGTTATTTTGTGAATATTTACTGGATTCTGTATCTCCCCTTGAGCTCAGTCCTATCAGAATATTAAACTCAACAACATCGTTGTTTGAATTATTGCTTGTGTTTTGCTGATCAATAGTTTCTTTGATAAAATATGATGGACTGCAGTTGTTATCGTTTGCTCGTAAATTCTCATTTAAAGCTTCTTTAATCATCTGTTGGTCACCACTGTATGGTATGTGTTCATTGTCAGATCCATTCTCATTTTCATCAAATTCTTCATTGTAGACGAGGGAGCTGAGCAGCAGTAATTCCCTGTTCTTCTTCGCTTCTTCTCCATGACCTGCAAAGTGCAAAGTAATTACTATTTAATCGTCATGCTTTACATCAATAAGTCCATGTTTCCTGTGGTTTTTCTATTGGTTACACTTCATTCAGTTTCTAATAGTTATACTTCAGTTTTCATTTTGATAATATCAACTTGCAAGTTAGAGTTTCCTTCTGCAGAGCTACAAATACTGAAACGATGTACCTACTGCAATACTGAATATACTAGTAGTAAGTTGCAAGATAGCTAATATCAAAATTTAAAAATAAATACCAATGTGTATATATTAAAAATATAATTGAAATAAATAAGCACTTATCAAATTATTCAACTGCCACATTTATCTGAGGTCATTTCTGCTATAAAAGCAAACAATGAAAAGGAAGTGACAGCAGTCAATAACATTCTAATTACAAATTATATTTTCTTGTTTATTCAGATCCAAGCTACCCAGTATATATACATGAGTGACATAGCAGCCTTACCGTTATTAGTGAAGAGAAAAATGGTTGCTAATAAAAACTGAAGTATTCTGAGCATTTTAGGTCATACTGAGCAAGCCGGTTCTGGCCGGATCTTGTCGTAGTGCATTTCTTAATGTAAAAAATATACTATTCGAAATTCGTTGGGGAAGGGAAAGGGATCTGAAAAAAAATCACCATTATTGGTGGTTTACGATTATTGCTATGCAGTAAAAAAATTTTTAGCCTGTCGCCAAGGTATACTTTTTCGTGTACAAAATAAAGAATATATAAAAGAACACAATAAAGAAATTCTGAAGTCCTCAGGATCTTCACACACTCGCAAATTTATAACACTGAGCAATAATAACTGTTTCGACTCGAGATCAACGCAGTCTTATTTAAATTCCAAGTCCACACGATCTGCTGGTTCATGACAATTCCTCTTTTGTTTATACTAGATAGCGAAATTTGTCACGGGTTGTGTAAACAATGATAAGACATTTCTATTCTGCACTCGTACCGGATATAATGTGTAATTATTTACCAAAATATTAAGCTTATAAAGCTTACTGCGATATTTTACTGGAAAAAAACGTTTTATATTTACTGACATTTGCGTCAATTGCTAAATTTACAGCAACAATAAGCTGCATCAAGCTCGGCGCCCCTCTGGCAACAACTGTGCTGCAGCAGACTTATTCTGCTCAGTCCTGTATTGATCGAGAAATTTGTGGAAGAAAAGTGGACGGTTGACAAATACAAAAAAAAAAAAAAAAACATCGTTTCAGAAAAAAACTGACCATTATTCAACTAAGCAAATCAAATATTGGTTGCAATACCCAGGGACTTTCCAAGCGTCAACATTTACCGACTGATGCCACCTAATCGCTATATCAGATGCAAGAGATTAAAATTTGCATATACCATGGCTCACAGACCGAGATTTCACAGAGATTATTGACAATTTAACAAAACGAGGGCAAATTTTTATAGCTACTGAACAACCTAAAGTAGATTCTCGCATTCCAGGCTTACCTCGACGGGCTGTAAAAGTTGAGAGATGGTACTGCACAAAAGCGACTGGCCTAACTATTCATGAAACCCCTCCCTACTTCCATCTCGCTCTTGTATACAACTTGTGCAGGAAATTCAACTAAAAAAAAACACACACACACCGGAATAATAAAAGGCAGTTGTCATCGATGGAACATCATTTATTCAAAAATAATAGTTCCCGTTCGTTTGTAATCGAGTTACATAGTAACTCCGTCATTAACCGTTCAATAAACAAAAAATTTTACCCGTGACGAGATAGGACGATTTTTAGCCAGCAGTTACGCTGAAATATAAGAGTAGACAGCCGAAAGTTTATATGAAAGTATTTCATCTCAAATTTATCCAAAAATAAATTTAACAACATCGAGAAAGCAATAGTTTCTTCGTACTTCTGATTGACACCGTGGAAATGTGTAACAAGATCATTTAGCTAAAGCACCGAGGACTATACTAGAGGTCTAAATAAAACAAAAAAATTCTAGGAATAATCCATTCCTAAGGCTAGAACAGAACAACTAGCTCACGACGGTTTTAGATTTCTTCGACGTAGAAGGATGGAATGAAAAGAAGTATGATGATACCAAAAAAAATATGCACAATGGATGACAGATGATATGAAGGTGATGAGCCCATGAGATGATCAAGAAACGATGAGAAGTGATGCGAGGAATGAAGCTAGCCCCGATTTGGGTGGAAGAAATCAGTCGATGAAGAACAGGTCAGTTGCAGTGTTGCTAACAAGAGTGGTTAACGCAGTTAACTCTACTAGTGCTACTCACACAAACTAACCTAACAGTACAGCAGAGAAAGAACGAGACACTGAAACGGTAGCCACTTATTCGGATTAGTTAATTCCATGAATGAAGATGGATTAATTAGGCAGAAGCTTCTTCAGCTGCTACGGCTTCAGCTTCTTCTGCAACCTTCTTGGCTGGCGATGCTTCTTCACTCACTTTCGCCTTCTTCGCAGGAGAGCTCTCAACTGACTCCTCAGCGGGGCGTTTTTCTGTAGAAAAACCAATAAATTTTAGTAACAGTCATGGTTTTAACAAAAAATTTAAAACAATTTTTGTGGATAGTTAAAATATATCATTTATTTTTTTTACGGGTGCTCAACGAATGAAATCATTTGTTAAGTCAACGGGGAGTTATAAACTTCATAAAATAAAAGGTATAATAAATAGCAATGCAACCAACTAGTTGAGCACAATTTTATACTAACGCGATAAGCTACAAATCGAGATTATTTAACCCTCCAGTAGTCCACTTCCGGTATATGCCCTATGCCCTCTGTGCATAGGGTAGGAAATTGGGTCATTTTACCCGAAGATTACAGGAAAGTTAAGGAAGATAACACAACATAAATTAGTAATCAATTTGAGCACTCCTCAGTTGTGATGTATTGGTATAGGAGATACGAGTAATAGCACACGAAATTATCGAAAATAGGATTCACGATAATTCCTAGAAAAGCCTGTTCTTTCGAAATGTGCTTCATAAGGACAATTTAATACAAGCAAATTCATAAAGCAACTCTCAAACATTTTTCTTTCAAAATGCAAACTCGTAAATAACACAAAAACATTACTATCAATATCACTCACCAGCCTCGGTGTCGGCCTCAGCAGAATGACCATTGACATCATCCTCGGAATGTCCGTTGGTTTCAGCAGCCTCTCCGCCGTTAGACTCTTCTTTGCTGTCAGATTCCTCATTGCTGTTGGAGTTTTCAGTGCCGTTGGATTCTTCAGCAGCCTCCTTGACAGGCGATGCCTTGGTGGGAGAGTCCTTAGCGGCCGACTCCTTCACAGGAGACTCGGCAGCGGCGACCTCTTCAACGACGGGGGCAGCACTGTCAACAAAGAAAGGAAGGCGTCACTACTTTGATTGGTGCAGTCACAAGACACAAACCAAGTTTATCGATTTGAGGGACTTTTATTCAGAATGAAAATAATTTACAATGATTTCAAAAAAGTTCAATTCGATATAATCATTGGTATTGAGAACTGAAAAAAGGGTGAATGATAATTATTTGATTAATATACACGTACGTGAAAATACTTCGGTATATATCAACTTCTTAATTGTGAGATCTTGCAGACATATTAGCCGTTTGCCGCTGGTTCACTCAAGTAGCTAGCTATCTGATACATTCCAGCGACAAAGACGAATTGCACATAATAGAATTGAATACATAGTCAACAATTAGCCTGAAAAGTGGACCAAACTAAACAAATTGTACTTGTCGGCATTCGAATTCATACATTCAGACAAATTACTCTCAATCTATAATGTACATTTCTGTGCTTTCAAACCGTACCTAAAACCCTTGATCAAGCAATTCAATTCATGTCGCACTCTTTCCCACAAACGCCCTACCGAGAAATGAAAACATGAAAAGAAATGGGATGGCAAATAATAATTCACAAAGCTAAAATATGGCCTGTGAGAGGTTGTGACCATATAAGTTGATGAAAATCATAGGTTTCATAGCCCACGCCCCCAGTTTCAGCTAGAAAAACTGACGGTAGTTAGAAAATCATGCACTTCACTAACAATTAAATAGCGCTCACAATCTGATATTTATTTCCCCTCTTGAATTATGTTTTCTTACATGTATAGTTTGCCCTTTAATTAATTTTGGATACTTCAGTAATACAAGCCGTGGTCATTAGCGACGCAGAAGCTCAACTTTCAAAGTTTATGTTAACCAAGATCAGTTGACCACCGTCAAATACAGGACACGATGAACAATTTTTTTAGACCTCTACCCGATAGAAGTAATGTATAGCAAAATATATTTAATAGTATTGTAAAAAAATTCTCTAGCATCAAACTCGGCATAACTCCAGTTAGTCCAGTAACCACTACCATTGATCCTAATCAAATGAGTCAATACAGCACAATAGCGACTACAGCTTTAGTGACGCTGAATGACACAATATTGACCACCGTCCCCCATCCTACAGGTGCTGCTCTATGTTAGTCGTCTAACACAACAAATGCCGCAACGGTATTATTCGCAACCTCGACCAACATGAGCTACCTTCGTTTACTTGGAACTTTTATACTATGCACTATTAAGTATTGACTTGCGTGAAACTTTACTTTGAATATTGAAATAGATTCTAATACGATTAAATTTTTTATATCCGACGCATAATAAGTCGACGCTCAATTAATTTAAGCAGTTAATCTATAATCAAGAAATATAAGGGTAAGACCGAGAAAAGGTCAGTTCTTTATTCCTGGTAAGGAAAACGCAAGTGATGGAGGGGCGGGTGAGGGGTGACGAGTAATCGACTACCTGCGCGGGAGAGCGGGAGGCATGGGTGATATGGGGGTAAGGGGTCAGAGGGGGTAAGCGGATGCCGGGCAGAACTCGTGCATCTGGCACCAAGCAATCAAACCACTTACCTAGGTAATTCAATAACTCAACAATTTCAGAATTTGCACAATGCATTAAGCTCACGAATAAACCGTGAAGCATAAAAATGTACATGCGAGAAAAACTTGCTTTGAAAACGGATATAAGAAACTATTTGCAATAGGTATACTCCTGATTCCTGATATAAGACAACGTGGTACAAGAAACGTTAGGTATCTCTGATGTAACTGTTATGATCACAATTTTAGTGATCAATAGCTAATGGCACATATTTTTCTCGCACACAAAATATACCGCTCATACTTAACAAAGAATTCCATTCTATCCAAATGAACACGATTCTTGCACATGCACTCGGGAGTTCTAGAAGATTCCTGCCGCCACCGGCCAGCGCGTCACGCTGCATCATAAACTGAGTCATTGCAGACATTTCAACATTATTCATAACGATCAACTCTCGCATAATAGATACGGATCAACATTATACTTACACTTCAGCAACGCTATCAGCCATTATGGATATTTGTTTTGAGATCAACACTGAATAATTGAATATTATCACTCAGAGAGTCGCGGCAGCTAACCTCACACGAACACAATTCTCACGTAAAGAGACGGAGGCGGTTCGTACAGCCGCCCACAGGACTAAAATGTCCCTGAAATATATTTAGATACCCTAGACATTTTATCTCATGTCTGTTAAATGTTTATATATTCATCTATACATATTGTAATTTATACATGATGCCCTGCTACTGAAATCATTCCATATATGAATTAGACTCAACTATTCAGGCATGTCTCACAGAAAACAAAAAATAAATTGGTGTCATCTTGATGTTTTTATCGATATCTCTTGAATTGAAAAACTATAATCACAAGTTATTGTATTTCATCAACTCAGCACCGAAAAAAACTTTACATAATGGACTCTCCAGAAAGGTCAAAACGGACAAATGCAACATTTCTTTTGCAACTTACCCTGAATCCAAGCAATTTCCCGTTGTACATGCTTTTGGAGTGATGTGTCGGGTTCCCGCGCGTGGTAGCGTTCGCGCTGACAAAAGCGCATCGTCGTCATGGCAACTCAATTAAACTCCTCCTCCTGAAAACGCATGCCAAGTTGTTAGTCAAATGAAGAAATAATTCTCAATTTGAAATAATGAAAGGTGAAGTAGCTACATTTTCCAATAAAATATTATTATTCTCGAATTAATCGTGTTAATTGTGACTCATTTGATAGTAAGTTAACAGTTAGGCGTTCACAAAAAATGACGTGGCAACAAGAACGTCATTGCCCGCGCGAAAAGATTTCCAAGCGAGCGAGGGAGAGAGTTGGCGGCTGCAGTGGCGCTGTTCAGGGAGCTCTTATTCTAATGCTAAGAGAATGGAACTAGACGCTATCGATTTTCTGCCGTTTACTTTAGACTCTCAACGTGAATGAAATTAACTGTTTCATAAGGGACTTATACTCAGAGTGAGAACTAGAACATGTGATAAGCAACCTGTTGCATAGAATTAGGTATGGAATCTTGATGCCGGCATCCCGACTTGAACTAAACTTATCAAAGTTTTTTTCAAACTGCAAAGAAAAATCTATAAAGCTTCGAATAAAACAATATAATGGTCGATATATCATATGAATACTTCAATCTATCATTGCTGAATTGAACTGGATGCATTTTCCCAGAGACTGCAAATGAAACATTTATTTAAATTTGGATCTCATGTTTAAACAATTACGGCCACTTGCACAACTAATTGAAGTTGTCTAGCAAATTATAAATTTTCAATTTTTTATAATTTCACAGTCTGTGTGAAATGTGAAACCTTGTATTCCTCAAAATACAAGTGCATTTTTATGGTATTTGTTAATTCTCTCAGTCGAGCAGTATCTGGCATTACAATTTGTTGGGGGTTGGGGGAAATGAGGAAGGAAGCGTTGTAGACAAAACAGGTTCCGCGCTCGTCTTTCAGCATTATTCATTCCGTTAACGTCCTCGTTCCGTAGATGAATATGAAACTTCATATAGCTGCAAGTGATTTTATTATCCGGGTTAATCACGGATAAGAATATGCTGAGATAGAGCATGCTGGCACTTAACAATATGTTACTTGAACGGGCTTTAAAACGATTCTGCAAACGTTGAACGTTGTCAGGATATAGCCTATAGGGCAGCCTCTGCCAAAAGTTCTCGTCAAACCAACTAGTTGTCCAATGCGGGAAATTTGTTTTTTATCAATTAACGTTCGACTAATGTTTCTCACTGTTATAAAGGTCGAAAAAGAATCAATTCCGGGAAAGAGTCCAGCTTACGCACTTAAAACAAAACCGTGGTTAAACAGAAATAAAACGATATTTCAAAGACCTTAGACTGGGTGCAAAAAGAATTTAGAATGGACAACGTGATCAAATTAACTAATCCTTGCACGAACAAAACGGTCTGTAAACAAAAAAAAAACACTGTAGTTCCTTGTAAGTTTGAAAATAATTGTTGCCCTCTGCTCTTAGAATGAATATTTAATTCTTATCTCTAATTGCACGAAGTACGGTAACTTATCGCGTCGGGATATTTCCTGGACCTGAAATGTTATTCTTGCTAGAAGAATAATGGACATAGCAACACAATAAGAATTGGGCTGGATACAAAAATTCACAGTTAATTTTTTTCCATTCCTGTATATGAATTCAATATCGCTAAGAAATTAAAAAGTTTTCCTCATTTTTCATTGTGATTCAATTTTGTAGTAGTTCCTGATCCATGATACTTGTGAAATGAGAATTGAACATGCCTCTCTTTACATAGCAAATATTTTTTTTAATTGCTTCTCGGAACGACGGGAACTTCAACTCAACTAAGCATACGAAGTCTAAGCATTTACGCAAACGTAGTTCCTCAAAGTAGATAGCTGAAAGCCACTAGTAATGAAAATTGAAACTATAATACTGCAGTATTCCACCTAATCTCTTAAAACTGACTTCCGTTCACCTGCCGCGCATGAGGCATCAACACTGACGAATTTGACACCCGGGTATCGACCTGGAACTTCGACGACTCTTGCTAAACACCTGCCTGTTATCGCGTTCGGTTTTCCCTCTTCTCGGTTCTAATGTATGAATGATAATATTGCAATTTCTTAACCATTGATGAAGTACATGCTGTCTAAGTTTTGATGAGTTGATCGAACGGGAGAAATATAATGCGCCCAAAAAAAATCAAATTTAAGAGAATTTATTAAACAAATTTATGCCGTTTACATACATGAGCGCTGTGGACCTTCAAGGTTGCATCACGAGTATTTTCGTAGCAATAAAAACATGATTATGTTCATGTACTGGAACAATAATTCATTTAATGATTTAGCTGTGGTGGGATAACAGTCTCGACGCCAAGCGTAGCACTAGGAAAAGTTCTGCAGCTGGAGTTCACTGACCGACACCGTTCTTCTCCCTCGGCAAGCGACACGCCCGAGCTAAACATGGATCGGTCTTTGATCAGTTGTTGCAAGTACACGATTAGCAGCAATTCTTAACTTAAAAGTGGCGGTATGTGCACGCCTAAAATAATTTTTTGCCTTTATACTAATTGCCTTTAACTCTCATTGTCTGACCTTTAGTTACATACATGAGTTACACCGGTAACGACTGGTAACCATTTCCGTATAGTCATGGACAGGGTTAATGTACGCATGATTCTACTGATGAATGTAATTCGGTTGACACATCTAATATTTAGAATTCATCTCTATTCGAAGCGAAAATATGTCCCTCATGATAAATTCAAGCACATATTTTAACGTTCAAAAACTCGTTTCCAGCAAAATCCAGCGTTTCCATCAAAATCCATCGCCAAAACCTTGGAACTAGTAGTACTCTGTATTCTGTAAAATATTTTTCTGTCAATAGACCATTATTTATTTCTTCATTTGTACCTCCAAAGGTCAAATATAACATCAAATGTTAGATAATCGTTGGTGTGTGGGATCTTGCTAGTAAAATATGACGGCGGGATATAGAATCGGTTATGAATCTATTCTACATACAGTAGGTCCCGAAGGCGAAAGTAAGCCAGCAACTCAGTTCTTCGAAGAATACCGAAGTCAGCGAACCTTAAGTATCTGACTTAATTTAATGGCTAGTAGGTTCAGAGGCAAATTTTCATTTTAGTTTCATCGTTGGTAATACATAGAACGGACATTCTACAATAGGTTCCGGTTTTTGCTGCACCCTGGGCTCATGTATTCCATTCAGGTGATTCAGCCATCTCGCTGTATGGCAGTTGAGCTTCCGTTACGCGAGGCTCCTCCTATGGCGTCCGAAGCTCGGAATGAGTATACCACTCATCAGAACGATAAGGTTGATCAAATAGAATGCAGGAATAAATAGCCAAGTTGACTAAGTGAAAACGAATTATTTTGAAATATCGTACTTCAAATTAGAAGCGAGAGCTATTTAGAACACGACCTGGATGAAAAGTACGCTCGAAAATTAAATAATTAAAGTTTTGGTTCATTTGAATTTCAAAGTCTGATAACGTCGTACACTTGATTTCGGTAATTATTTTTTTCCGAATTAACGCGCTTATAAGCTTTATTCTGCTCAGAAGTGAAGCTTGAATATGCTTTCTCAAAACGAATCTATATGAATAATTTTCTGACTGTCCAACAGGAAAATTTTGCAAAAAATAACAAACATAGTTCTTTTAACAATGCGTGTCGTTCTGAATTAGAATTCTTGATTAGTTCCAATGCCGAATTGAGTATTGAATGAATACGAAAATTTGCACAGGATCAGGAATTAATTACTAATGATTTACAGATTCAGTATTGTGTCGAGATCAGCAATGAACTACCATATGTATAAGGTAACTCAATTCTGTATTCGGCATCTTCATACCGTTTTTGGATCAGTTCAATACATTAAGCTCGATTTTCTGGCAATTAGTGATCTTAGTGTAGGAGAGGCAATCGAGGGTGATCAAATCCGCGTTTTTAGAAGCCGGGTGTTAATATTGTCTTTAAAATACGTAAAAATATATCAAGAGTACATACACCGGAAAAATTCGATGCTGTAGCTAATTAGTCGTAAATTTTGTAGAGAATTTCACGTCTCGGACAAAATTTCACGTCTCGGACAAAAACGCGGCCTCTCTCACGGCCGGTCTCGCGGCCGGACTGCAAATTCAGTGAGCGTGGAATATCTCGCGAAATACTGAACGTAGCTCGATGAAACTTGGTACACATAATCATTAGAGCCTAACGGTGATGTTTAGCTCGTAACAATTTTTCGAATTTCGCCTTCATTCCTGAGTTATATGAATATACGGGGTGAAAATTGCAGTGAGCGTGACATTTCTTCTAAAGTACTGTACAGATTTGAATTAAATTTTGAATATAAATTTCTCAATACCCGACGGTGATGAACTTTAGAAGAAATGTCACGCTCACTGCAATTTTCACCACGTATATTCATATAACTCAGGAATGAAGGCGAATTTTGAAAAATTGTCACGAGCTAAACATCACCGTTAGGCTCTAATGATTATGTGTACCAAGTTTCATCAAGCTACGTTCTGTATTTTGCGAGATATTCCACGCTCACTGAATTTGGAATCACGGCCGCGAGAC